GGGGGTGGCGGGCGGGCCGGGGGACCCGACAGCACCCACCCGGGCTGAAGGACCCGACAGCGCCCACCCGCCGGGCCCGCGCGCCACGCGGCGCTCCGCAGACAACCAAGTAGCTTTTCTTGTTTGGTATCGGGGTGAATTTCGAAAGAAAAAACAAAACAAAACAAAACACAATCCCTGCTCCCCGTGAAATAAAACGAAAACCTACTCCTAAAGAATAGCCCCAGCCATTCTGGGTCTCAAAGCCAAGGAGGCGCCGGAGGCCCGGCCCTGCTGGCCTCATCTCAGCGGTCTGGCTTCTCTGCCTCTGGGTCGTCTCCTAGCTCCAGGGCGAGCAGCGTTTTCGGACTCCCTGCCCCGACCTTGGGAATCCACTAGCCTCGGGCCGCAGCTCTGATCCCAGCAGCAATGGAGTGAGCCTGAGGCTGACCCGATGGGAGTCTTGTCCTGCCGGGGAGGTCGGCCCTAGGGATCCACTCGCTGCCCCAGGCCTTGGAGCCCAATGAAAGCCGTCTCCTCGGCCTTTCCACCCTTCCGCTCAGCCACTAAGAATCCAGGCCTCAGTCGTACCCTCTTCCCCCGAACTGCCGGGTCAGGGGCTCTGACCGGGCTGGAACCTGGTGCCCAAAGCAAATGTCTTCCAAATTTATTTCCAGGAGTTGCCGTGCCTGGTGTGTACATTCTCTCAACGAGTTTCAGGGCGATTCAGTAGAAATCAGTGTATTTCTAGAAGGCCTAGATTTCTTTCTTGGATGGGGTTTTCATCTCAGATCAGAAAGTGGGTCCCCAGGTCTGAGCCCAAGGCCAAGGGGAGGCCTTATAAGAAGGGATCTGAGGGGCAGAAACGGGGTCTCCCTGGAACAGCAGCCATAGGTTGGGGTCCTCCGAGCAGTGGGAAGAAGGCAGAGCAGCCGGACCATAGGACAGGCAACTGAGCCCTCCAGGCTGCTCTAGCTACAGCTGGGCTGGAGGTCAGTGAGAAGAGGGACCCTCCAACATGAAGAGCTTGGTCCCAATGGCATCTCCCCCTTCCCTCCCTCCGAGGCGGATGTTCCCCCCCTTCAAGGTGCGAGTCAGCGGCCTGGACAAGAAGGCCAAGTACATCCTGCTGATGGATATTGTAGCTGCTGATGACTGCCGCTATAAATTCCACAACTCCCGCTGGATGGTGGCAGGCAAGGCCGACCCAGAGATGCCCAAACGCATGTACATCCACCCGGACAGTCCAGCCACCGGGGAGCAGTGGATGGCCAAGCCTGTGGCCTTCCACAAGCTAAAGCTGACCAACAACATCTCCGACAAGCATGGCTTCGTGAGTGCGGGCGTAGCAGGGACAGGGTTAAGACGCTGAGCTGGCCACTCTGCAGCTAGGTGGATAGAGGAGGGTGGCAGGATTCCACGTCCATCTGGAAGTACAGGCCAAACCCCCAGGGTACCCCTGCCCAGGTCACTGCCCTGTGCCCTAGGCTGGCCAGGCCTGGGCCTCCAGATCTCTGCTCTGCTAGCCCCAGGAAGGACTGGCTGGTGGCGGGTAAGCTCCAGGCTGCTGGAAATCTCAATTCCGGTTAGGCCTTGAGTGCCCCTCCCAGAATCAAGCCGGAGGCAGGTGCGGTGGGAACTGGGTTGAGCAACTTTGGTCCTGGGGAGGTCACCCCACTCTTAGCCTGGAGGCGCCGAGCTTGAAAGACCTGCCTAAGACCTGCATGTGACCCTCACTCTTCCCCAAGGCTAGGGGATTTAAAAATGAAATTAGCCCCCCTACAGCCTCCCTGAAATCTTTCCCTCCCCTCACAGGCAGCTGCCCAACCGGGAGGAGAGGGCGTGGGGTCTCCCTGTTTCTGCCTGAGCCAAGGTCCCAGAAAATGGTTCGAGGAGGAGGGTTGGATGGGGCAGAGTGGCTTCCAGTTCTGAGCAGGGCAGTTGGTGCTCTCCTTCCAGGACCCTCTCCGTGAGATTTCTGGGGCTTAGCAATGCCAAGGCAAAGTGAGGTGAAGCGTGGAATTGCGTTCTTTTTCTGCTTTGTTTTATTTCTGTTTCCAACTGGGGAAAATTTTAATGGAGAAAGAGAAGCTGTAAGAAAGAAAGACATGAGGAAATAGAAGAAAAAGAAATATAAGTGAGAAAAACTAAGACAGAGAGAAAGGGGTGAAGGTCAGAACTGAGACAGAGGGTGAGACGGGCAGAGGAACAGGTCTGATGTCCAGCGAGGGCTGGGGGCGGCTGGTTGACCCGTTCCCTTCCCGCAGACCATCCTGAACTCCATGCACAAGTACCAGCCTCGCTTTCACATCGTCCGAGCCAACGACATCCTGAAGCTGCCCTACAGCACCTTCCGCACCTACGTGTTCCCCGAGACTGACTTCATCGCTGTCACTGCCTACCAGAACGACAAGGTGCGCTGGCCGGGAGGTGGGCTCCGCACCCCCAGATGGCTCAAGGTCCGACCCAACACGCGCGCCTTCTCGTGGCCACTCTGCCCTCCCTGCCCGTTCCGGAGCTCCAAGTCTTTCATCCATAAGCACCGCACCCAGAAAAGCCCCAGACCCTCTCTCAGGCCCACACGGACGCACACTCCCTGGGGGCACTTGAACAGCTGGGCGCTAGTTCGGTGATGTTTACCTAGCAATTAGCAGGGACTCCGACCAGTGCTGACATTTTTACATTTTATTCGTTTATTTCTTGGCTCAGGGATGGGAATTTAAATGAAAAGAGGACGCCCCGGGCAGTCTGCCCAAGCTCTGCCGAGGCTAAGAACTCAGGGCCCCTATTTCATCCTCCTGAGGGAGCCAGCGGGTGGGACAGGTGACACAGCACCCCAAAGCAGCCCAGGGTAGAACTCTGGGTCAGTCCAGGACCCAAACCCTTTGGGAGATGCTGAGAGAATTTTCCTTTGATTTCAAGGGCTTTTTCTACTTGCTCCTTTCCACGGTCTTCTTTCGACCACCCCCCACTAAGCCTGTGGCCCTGAGCGCTGCAGTCCCGTGAAAGGGGGTCCACACAGGTCTTTCTGTCTCTGTGAATGGAAGTGTTTCCTGGCAGGCATACACCATTTAGGGTGCCTTGGATCTGGGTGGAAGTGTATGAATTCGTTTGGTTCTGTGTGTGTGTGTTTTTTTCTGCGTGTATGTGCATGTGCGTGGACCATGGGTGTAAGGATTTGGCTTTGCCTGTACCTGCAGACTTGTGTGTGTGCGCTACGGCATCCGTGCGTGCCTACTCCATGCCGAGCGGTTTAACCTGCGAGACCACACGGGCTTGTTTGCTCTGTTGGGCCGATTTCGACTCTGTGTGCACAGCTTTGGGCCTGTGTGTGCGTGTTGATGGATTATTTATTGAACTGTCGCTTTCCTCAGTACCTGTCTGCTGGCCTCACCACGGGGCGACCCATACCAAGCAGGCGGTCACCATATCCCCGGTCTCCACGCTGCAGCCCGCAGCTGCTGACTTCGCGGTGCCCCTGGCCGGCTGGAAGACCTAGGTCCTGACCTAATGCCCCCCTCTCGGTCCCCGCAGATTACACAGCTGAAGATCGACAACAATCCATTTGCCAAGGGCTTCCGGGACACCGGCAATGGCCGTCGGGAGAAAAGGTGAGCGAAGATCCCCACGGCCTGTGGCGGTTGCCGCGGGTTGCAGGAAGCCCAAGGAGGGGTTGCGCTCTCTGCTGACCGCTCCCTCTGCTCATCTCCAGGAAGCAGCTGACGCTGCCCACTCTGCGCTTGTATGAGGAGCACTGCAAGCCCGAGCGCGACGGCGCCGAGTCGGACGCCTCCTCTTGCGACCCTCCCCCTGCGCGGGACCCGCCGCCTTCCCCGGGCACAGCGCCCAGTCCCCTGCGCCTGCACCGGGCCCGAGGTGAGGGCCGGATTGTTGGTGGGGCGAGTAGAGGGACAGGGGAGCCCGGGAGCGTCCCCTTAGGGCGCCAAGCTGGACTTCTGCTCAGCCTGGCTGGCTTAAAGCCCTGCGGAGAAGCGCGAACCATGTGTCTGGGGAAGGGCTTCCAACCCGGGCCTGCGCCCGCTGTGTGATCTGTTTCTGGTGGCTGGAGCGTCGGGTTGGATTCCGAGCTAGGCTTGCAGGCTGTGCAAATCTGGCAATTAGGTTTCCTGTCCACTGGCAATAAGGTTTTTCTAAATTTCTTCCACTATAAATGTGGGGCCTTGGATTAGCTGACTGGCAGCTGCCCCTTGCCTGACTCTAGAGGCGCCTCCGACTCGACCTCCCCAAGAGCTGGCTTTTTTCAAGTCTTCCCAACCGACCGGGCCCAGACCCCGGAGAGGGCTTCCCCTCCGTCTCTGTCTGGGCCCCTGTAAC